ACACTAACTAATAAAAAAAAATATATCAAATATTTTCTCTCTCTTCACTATAATAGCTATAATAGGTACTCTATAATTTACATTCAATTTTGATAATATATCAATTATTGATTTTTATGTCCTTTCCGTCCATATCTATTGGTTTTTTTCTTTTGAAAGCACCTCTGTTTATCAATATACATTTAATTGAAACATTTGCTTAAACTATGTTGACTTTAGTTGTAATCTATATTTTGACGACATGGACCTGAATTTTGATTCTTTTTCCAAAGTTTTGAGCTGATTAATTTCTCATATACAACAACTATTATTTACGATGGTGATTATAGTCGGACAATTTGACGGTAAAATGTTTTAGGCTTTTTAAGAATTTTATGATCATCTTTTTTATTTCTAGCGGTTTCATTAATAATATTTTCTAGGATTATTTTTTTTCTAGCATGATAAATGTTTAGTTGAAACATAGACTTAAATATATAGACTCCTATCACTTTATGTAATATCATAAAAATCTCTATTTTAACTTTCAGCTTTTGGTCATGTGTTAATTTGAAATTCCAATGCTTACTATATCGCTAATTCAAATTTTTCATTTTTTATTTTATTAAAAAATTTTAGGTCCTAGGCTACCCTTAAGTTCTTAGAATACCCATAATAGTTGTTTCAGCTTGCACCATGGCACTTAAGATGTGGAATTTTTTATATTGCATTGATATTGATTTAGTGAACAAATAATACTTGGAATTATAATACTTTTATTCATATGATATAATGTTCCAATCAAATTGTTTATTCTTTCTTTTTTCAAGACGATAACAACTTGCAAAATTTATTATCATGAGTATTAATATGACTTAAAGTGAAGTGTAAGGGTCATCGGTATATCATTTGTTAATGATATGTGTCCTTAGTCTACATAGTGGAACATAGCTTTATGCATAGTTTTAACTTAATATTGGTATGGATGTTAAATTATTTCATAATAGCATATTAGCATTTACATATAGATTTGATAGGTTTGTGTTTTTTTTTACAATTGTTGAGATGGATAATTTAGGTGTAAATTATATAGGTAGCCCATATGGTTAATTTGGATGCAAACATAAAGGGTCCGGATAAGTTATAAAAGAATTATTATGGGATTAGTTATTTATCTTTAATATTTGTGGGGGTTTGAGTTTTTTCATATAGGCTTTCTCGATAACTCCCTGAATCATGGTCTCCTAATTTTCTAGCATCATTAACATGTAAACTCGAAGTAAGCTAACGAATTTATATTAAATTGAACAAAAATATTATAAGTCAAGGTCAATAAGGGTTATTATATCAAGAAGACTTATTGATTCAAAGTAATCTAAGACTCTTGCTTTCATTTTTCACAATTCTTTCCCTGGTCTAATCTCACCTATAAGCAGTATGGAATAAGTACTCGGAGAAGACAAACTAAACAGTAGTTATGGGATGGCAAAATTCAGTACATCTTAGGAGAGAAATTAAATTGTAATTTTCGGATCTAGCAAGATGTCCACACCTTTAGTCTGTAGATCTATCCAGCTGGTGCCAATGTCGATGTAGATGCCATGAACGCAGCACATGAACGCACCGGGGCTAGTGTTTGTCCCGTGCTTATGGGCTTATGGCCGCCCCTCTTGCAGATACTTGCCGATTACAGATCGATGCGTGAATGACCTGCTTGCTCGCTAGACGTATACAGGTGCAAGTCAGGCAGATGCATGCATCACACAACACGTCTTTTTTCTCACCATAGAAGGATGTCGACGTGAAGCCATCGCCTTTTTTCTTGATCCCTTGCTACTGGTTCCTATCGTCCTTCTTAGTCCTGGCTCCTAGCCCTGATGCGGCTGATTTGAGCTGTGAGGCCACCGTTCCTCTCCATGGAACAATGCCGACGGGTGCATTCCGGCATCAGTGCCGGATTAGGGGAGGTGCACCCGCCAGCCGGTGCCACGGCCTAGGCCCTAGGACCTGTAGCCATGGGACGGTGGTAGAAAAAAATAATATGTATTTATTATTTTCTTTCTTTCTTGGTATGTGGATTTGTTTGTTAAAAAACAATATGATTACGTAACTTCTTTAGATAATCTATTAACCAACCTTGAACGACGTGTGGCTGTACCAAATGTTTTATATATTAATAGAAACAACAGATATTTTAGATATATATTCTATTAAAGTGCCGTATCTAATGTTTTATATATTAATAGAGAAATAGAAATAGAAATAGTAGATATTTTAGATATATATTCTATTAATAACTAACAAAATGTGACGTCGGTAGGTATAGCTTTTTCCGCACAATGAAAGTGTTTTCCTCCCCAACAATAATATTTTAGGCTACTTTTTTTTATAATAGTGGTAAAGATGGGTAATTTTCTAGAGAAACAATAGATCCAATGGTCGTGGACACTTGAGTCTTTGGATTTGATGGTTGGATGTTTCTAATTAATGTGGAAATTTCTAGTATTTTATCTTTTTTTTCTAGCGCGTCTGGTGAGAATTGGAGCCTCCGTTGAGGCCTCTAAATAGTAATAGTAAGATAGCTTTAGTTCCATAAAGTAGCTAGCTTCACCAATGAAGCTAAAGGTGTTTTCATAAATGTTTGGTAAAGATAGCCATGAGAAGGGTAGGAGGAGAAGCTAGTATTTTCAGCTTCACTTAGAGACACGCGCATGTGAGAGAAGCTGAAAACAACTTCTACGGAGAAGCTGTTTCCAAAGATCGAGCATGTTTGGTAGAGAAGCTGATCGAAAAACAACTTTGTCAAGTTGTTTCATAAGCACTATGAGCCCGAGCCAAATGTTGGTGAATAACAGGAGTGATCTAAGCCTTCTCCTGTAGCGATCGAGTCAGACAAGTCAACAGGATCACATGCCGTAGAGCCATCAAAACCAAAATGACGACGCTAATATGGCCATATAGAATGACTATCCCAGAGCAAAGTGCCAACTCGTGTTGTACCAAAATCTTCAGCCAAATAATTTCAATCAATCCACTTAATTAAAAGGACATGCACTGACAAAAAAACACTGCAAGAATATTTCCATGCATTTGGTAACCTATTCGGTTTACCAGTCGGTTTGGGGGTGCTAAGGAGAAGACATACCAACAAGGGACAGTACACCAGAAAAATTGATAAGGGACTTGTCCACAACTAACTACCACGTTCGCTTGTCTTAAAGTTTGGCTTGTTCGGCTTGCTTTTTTCAGCCGGAACAGTGTTTTTCTCTCACAACAATTCAGCCGGAATAGTGTTTTTCAGCCAGTTTCAGCCAAAGTTCAGACCAGCGAACGGGGCCCTCGGCAAAGACTTAAAAAAAATATTGCCGAATAACCTGGTTTCACAGAAAAAAAACCTTTGCCGAGGGCCTAACGGGTGACCCTCGGCAAAGCTTGATGGGGAATGGCCGCCGTGACCCAACGGGCCTAATTTGTCGAGGGTATCTTTGCCGAGGGCCGCAGCCCTCGGCAAAGATTTGATTTGCCGTGGGCCTGTCTTTGCCGAGCGCCGTTCTTTGCCGAGGGCTCCTGTGGCTGGCCCTCGGCAAAGAGTGTTTTTGCCGAGTGCCCGAGATTTGGCCCTCGGCAAAGCCTCAGGCCCTCGGCAAAGCACGCGTTTGCAGTAGTGAACAGCAGGGACCGCCCTGACCGAGTCTCAAATCGGCCAGGCCGGATCTCTTCTCGTTCTTCGAAGCTCAATGCGTCATGCATATCATTGCGAAATCCCTTGATCATTTTTAGTCATCAGCAGCAGTTTTATGAAATGCACCGTGTGCTACTTGAGAAGAGTAAAAGGAGGAATTGAACACTAATCTTCTACTGTTATCTACCACTACCGGTCACAGTGAGGCACTCGGCAAAGCCAAGAATACACTCGGCAAACGCTTTGCTGAGTGCCATATTTGGCAAAGATCACTCGGCAAAGTAGCAGTCGGCAAAGAGCTTTTTGCTGAGTGTTTTCTTTCGGGCACTTGGCAAAGCGTTTGCCGAGTGCCCGACACTCGGCAAATTTCAAAACGAAAAAATCCGAAAAAAATAGAATTTGTTTTTCGGGGAGAGGCGGCCACCGGCCACCGGCCACCGGCCAGCGTCCGCCCGTCTCCGTCGAAGTCGCAAGTCGCTCGTTGAAGATTCATTGTTCTTGTACCATGCGCTGGGCATAGGATGGGCGGCAGGCCTCTCAACTGTCTACCTCATCTTGTTACTTAACCTGAAGTGGAGAATTGCATGGTTCTTGTTTTTTGATCGATTGTATGACCAGGTTTACGTACACGTGACCTTGACTTGGGCATCTTTGACAAGAGCATCGGATTGAAGCCGGCCTTATCAGAAACGCCGGTGCTAGTAGCTAGTAGTAGAGCATGATGCCTCCAGTCCATTATCATAAGTGCCTATATATACTTATATGAATAATAAAGGCTGGGATTTATGTTAATCCTTTCATTTTAGAGTTTAATTGAGTCTTTCCCCTTTGGTATTCCCTTAGTGCTAACTTTATTATGTATATGTCAAAAATACACAGAAGTGATAAAGACAAGTGTCAGGTCGATTCAGTACGATCGATCACTTATATTATATAGCCCTCTGACCAGGGCACGGCAAAGGCCCCTCACTAATCACTGTAATGGTGACTTAATTCAACATTACAAATAGCAGCGAAGATGCGTAACGAAAAACATCACTTTTCATTCGCTCATATTGTGCTAGCCAATTGATTACTACAGATACCAGTCATATTGACAGGCAGCTGTGAGCTAGAATCCATTTTTTTAAAGCATTATTCATCAGACTCGGCTCAGAATGTAAAAACACAATTTACAAAGATGGTTGCTTTAATTGAAGAACTACACGACCGATGATTGTTTTAAAGTGAAGAAGTATGATGGTAACGAATGTGAAAAAAAGTAATTTTACAGTCAATATATAATACACAAAGACGCCCATAGACCAGAGGCGGCCCATACAACAGTGATGAATGTAAATCAACCCAACTCTTTTGAATCTCGAAGCAAGGCAGAGGTTGCTGACTCGGAAGAGACCTTGGAGTGGCCACGGGTTGTCGCCGTGGTCGCAGAAGAGGAGCTCTGAACGGACAAGGCGCCGATAGCACGTCCAGTGACGGCAAACTCCGACACCGTCCTGTACATCTGAGGCGTGAGCTCCGGAAGCCTGGCGTCCTCTGACTGCAGGACGTGCATGGCCTGTGCGATGGACGACCGTTCGTTCTGGTCAGGGTGCGCGCACCACAGCCCGACGACGAGCACCCTCTCCATGCACCTATCGTTGGCCTCGTCGCCGGCGGCCCTCAGCCATTCGTCCGCCGCGTCGAGGATTGTGTTCTGTACCGAATGTGTGGCTATCGTTAAAAAAAATATGATTATGTAACTTCTTTAGATAATCTATTAACCAACCTTGAACGATGTGTGGCTGTACCGAATGTTTTATATATTAATAGAAACAGCAGATATTTTAGATATATATTCTATTAAAGTGCCGTATCTAATGTTTTATATATTAATAGAGAAATAGAAATAGAAATAGAAATAGTAGATATTTGAGATATATATTCTATTAATAACTAACTAAATGTGAACGTCGGTAGGTATAGCTCTTTCCGCACAATGAAAGTGTTTTCCTCCCCAACAATAATATTTTAGGCTACTTTTTTTATAATAGTGGTAAAGGTGGGTAATTTTCTAGAGAAACAATAGATCCAATGGTCGTGGACACTTGAGTCTTTGGATTTTATGGTTGGATGTTTCTAATTAATGTGGAAATTTCTAGTATTTTATCTTTTTTTCTAGCGCGTCTGGTGAGGATCAACGTGGAGCCTCCGTTGAGGCCTTCAATTAGTAATAGTAAGATAGCTTTAGTTCCATAAAGTAGCTAGCTTCACCAATGAAGCTAAAGGTGTTTTCATAAATGTTTGGTCAAATAATTTTTCAAGGTAGATAGCCATGAGAAGGGTAGGAGGAGAAGCTAGTATTTTCAGCTTCACTTAGAGACACGCGCATGTGACAGAAGCTGAAAACAACTTCTACGGAGAAGCTGTTTCCAAAGATCGAGCATGTTTGGTAGAGAAGCTGATCGAAAAACAACTTTGTCAAGTTGTTTCATAAGCACTATGAGCCCGAGCCAAATGTTGATGAATAACAGGAGTGATCCAAGACTTCTCCTGTAGCGATCGAGTCAGACAAGTCAACAGGATCACATGCCGTAGAGCCATCAAAACCAAAATGACGACGCTAATATGGCCATATAGAATGACTATCCCAGAGCAAAGTGCCAACTCGTGTTGTACCAAAATCTTCAGCCAAATAATTTCAATCAATCCACTTAATTAAAAGGACATGCACTGACAAAAAAAACACTGCAAGAATATTTCCATGCATTTGGTAACCTATTCGGTTTACCAGTCGGTTTGGGGGTGCTAAGGAGAAGACATACCAACAAGGGACAGTACACCAGAAAAATTGATAAGGGACTTGTCCACAACTAACTACTAAAAGCTCAATATCATGATAAGAGACAATGGAATGAGGCATACTATGGACTATGTATATGTGCTGCACGTAGAGCTTAGCAACACTGAAGGCAGTATAAGGATGACTGAGTGGCACAAAATGACTATACTTAGAGAATTTGTCAACCACACAACAATAATGCAATCTTTTCCTCCAGACCTACTAAGAAGTCCCTCATCAAAATCGAGGGACGCCATTGTGTCATGCTTGGGTAGGAATATGAAGAGTTTGAAATAAGCCAGGGTAAAGGACACTCTCAGGTTTGGCTTGTTGGCCGGCAGATGTGGCAGCTGACAACAAATTTCTTGACCGTTGATTTTAACCCCATCCAAGCAAACAACTCTTTGCTACGTTTGTAAGTGGTGGGAATCCAGCAGACTGGCTACCAATCGCAAAACTATGAAAGGCCATAACGATTTCGGCAAGTAAAAACGAATTTGTATCGTATCCTACAGTTTATATTCTTGTAGCAAATGACACCCAGATGGAGACTAAAAGAAGGCATTGCCTCAGGAGCTATATGGAACAACAGTTGACTGTCCCAGAGCTATATTGAGGGCACTGTGTCATTGTCTTTTGGGCCATTTGAGTCTTTTAAGGGCGTCCGCAATGGTGTTAGCTACGTAGCTAGCTAGATGACGTGGAGGTGAGAGACAAGAGAAATGACAATTTTATACCTTCTTGTTCTAGTGAACCCATATGCTCCTCTCATATGTTCTTGGGCTACGTGAAATAGATAGGCTAGTTACTCGTCGCTAGTGACAACTCTCTCTCCTACTTTTTCCTTGACACGTCACATCTAGCTAGCCAAATAGCTAGCCATTGCGGACGCCCTAACGTGTTGGGACTTGTTAGACATGAATAGGGGTAGCTTTTGGGCACCCCTTAGACTATATAATCAATAGCTGCCGCTCATATTAGAGTTTGGGTTTTGCTTAGATCAATTTGTCTTTGAATATTCGCTGTAAAACCCAAATTCGAAAGTTTAATCATACATCCACAATTGTCACTTTATTTGAGTTGTGTTTTATCATGTTTTGCTTGTGTTCTTCGATTCGCAGCAGGGAATAACCTTCATATTGGTGAGGTCGACCGGACTGTGACTCGGTTGATAACAGAAGAGCCATGGTGCTAAGGTTACAGAGTCCAAGTCTTTGCGATCTGAAACCTGATCGGTGTGTTGCTCTTCACCAAATCGATAGTTATCTTTGCCACACCTAGTTTTAAGAATAAAACTGAGTATTATCTATATGTGTGCCCAGGAAGTCAAATCACACATATAGTGACAAATTACAATAGTATCAAGAGACAATGCTTTATTATATAACGAACAACAATATTACATCGATACAAGATACTTATCAGATTAGCGGAAATACACATTCTAATTTTCAAGTAAAGCCTCCAGAGCCAAAGGGACGGTTGACTGGGGGTAACATACGCTTAGCACTCCTAAAAATTTAACCAAGCTCCATCTTTTGTTACCCATCTGGGATTTTCCAAAGTATTGAAAAGTAAAGCAAGTGCAAGTACATGTCGTACTCAACAAATATAACATGGGGTTTATGAGGCTCAAAAGGTTGACACTGGTTTACTACGATTAGCCTTTAGTGAGTCATATATAGTTTTAAGCAATTGAATAGCAACAAGTTATCATAAGTCCACATAGAAACGCATGATCAGGTAAAGAGTAAATTGCACTCACCATACAACAACTATCCAAGTTAGTGCATCTTAGTCCAACATCTTGTAATTTGTCCAATTTAATTCGGCAACTATCTAGGTGGGTGCATGTTGGTCCAACATCTTTTAATCTATTTAATTTGATGCGAGAACTTGGTTCATTGGTGCATATACAGTCCAAGTATCGTAACAACAAGTCTTTGTACACTCTGAATCACTGTCACTAGAAGCTATACGCCCTAACACCCTCATCTCACCCATCACTCATCTTGAATCGTTTGCTATATGATATCATTTCTGATTTTGGGCCATTTGTTTCATAAATATGGAAAATATCAAACCGGACATTTTTGTTTCTATACTATAATAGTGTTTTCATCCATGTCACCCCTACCTATGTTCATTCATAGCTCGCTAAACCTAATACGTCCGTTGTCCATCCCATAAGAAGTAGGGACCGATAGGTTCGTTTTTGGTTTGGCTTTGGCTATAATCGAACCAACCAAGTTGTTGTATTGGTTTACCAAGCCAAGGAAAAAATGAAAAAGAAGAAAAATAGAAAAAGCGGCCGCTGCAGTTGAAAGGATGTTGCAGACACAAAAACAAAATGAAAGACAATGTAGTAGAAACAAAAAAGAGGATGTATACATCGAAAGGATCATGAAATGCCTACCATCTGGTGTCCCCCTTAAGAGTTTGGCTTTTCCTATATTTAAATTCAAAATAGAATTTAAAGTAAGCTTTTATATTTGTTCAAATTAAAAAATGATATCACAATATAGCAAATGATTCAAGCGGAGTGATGGATGAGATGAGCATGCTAGGGTGTGTACAAAGACATATTGTTACAATCCTTGGACCTTATATGCACCAATGTGCTAAGTTCTCACATCAAATTAAACATATTAGAAGATGTTGGGCTAGCATGCACCTATCTTGATAGTTGACGCATTGAATTGAACAAATTACAAGATGTTGGACTAACTTGCACTTACTGGGATAGTTGTTGTATGGTGGGTGCAGTTTACTCTCAGGTAAACATGAATAATGTATAGCAACAACAATAATTAAGGGTGAGCATTTTCATCATTGGTATCATCACCATTCATCATCTATTATGTAAATGTTCCAAGGCCGCTCGTGACCGTGATATTGAGTTATTACCTGGCACAGTACCTATAGCTAAGAGTCCATGTAGAATAGGGGTTAATGAATTAGAGGAACTTAAGAAACAATTGAAGGAGTTCCAGGAGAAAGGTCTCATACATCCCAGTTCATCTACATGGGGTGCACATGTGATCTTTGTTGATAAGAAGGATGGTACTCAACAGATGTGTGTAGATTATCGTTCTCTCAATGAGGTCACTATCAAGAACAAGTATCCACTGCCAAGGATTGATGACTTATTTGACCAGTTGAGAGGTGCTTGTGTGTTCTCTAAGATTGATCTTCGTTCTGGTTATCATCAATTGAAGATTTAGCATTCAGGCATACCTAAGGCAGCGTTCACTACAAGGTATGCATTGTATGAGTACACATTTATGTCCTTTGGTGTGACCAATGCACCTGCCTATTTTATGTACACGATGAATAATAAGGTGTTCATGGAGTATCTGGATAAATTCGTGGTGGTATTCATTGATGATATCCTAGTATTCTCTAAGACAGAAGGTTGGTTTTGCAGAGAATAAGTTGTATGCTAAGCGGAGTAAGTGTGAATTATGGTTGAAGGAGGTCTCTTTTCTGGGTCATGTTGTCTCCAATGGTGGGTATGCTAATTTCCCCTAGGACTATTAGACTTGATGTCAACCAGTCGGTGTCCCTATGGCTTATGGAGAAGCACTGGAGTGCTTAGTATCTTATACACTTTTGCTAAGACTCTGATCTGTTTATTGTAATGGATTATTAAACTCTACGTAATAAAGCTTGGAGCTTGGTACTTTTGTAATTTGTCTTGTATACGTGTGATTGATCTCTGGGCACATATGTAATCTTTATATCCGGTTTTGTCTAAAAATACGGGTATGAAAATCTTGAACGCGACGAAAGATCAGAAACCCATGTCCCAGAGCTCTTCTTGAAAGTACGTAGCACTATATTACATATGAGATGTAGATGTAGACCAACTACCAACTACCCAGTCCGCCGGCAAGCCTTATATATTGTTTGAATTTGAATGTTTCTCCTGCGACGACTAATAACGTGCTGAATTAGAGTAGACTACCCACAACATTACCATATTGGAAAAAAACATACGCTACCTCATACCAAAGAAATATTCAAAGTTGCAGCATTTATTTACATCGTTTTCATTTGATCACCGGCGTTATTATATCTTGAAGGCTTGAAGCTGTTGCATGAAGCTTCTAATAAGAGAGGGTCATGTTGGTGGCTTTCGATGGATACTCCATCTATCCCTTTTTATATGTAGCTATTTGTGTGCGTGCTATAAGTTTGATTTAATTTGAAAAAAAATGCATGCAATATTTATATCTCCTAATAAATTTATTAAAAAACTATATACAAAAACGTTTTCAATATTTTTAATCTATATTTAATTGAAGTTATTTCTTAGAAAGAGCAGACGACATATATTTAAGAACGGAGGGAGTACATTATGGAAAAAAGCGAAGATAGCTGCCACGTCCACCTGTAACAGCGTCGGTAGCAGAGACGAGCATATTGATGGGAATGGAGGGGCTGCCCCACTGTTTTTTTTTTGTTCTCACTTCAGGATCAGGAGTCAAGGCAGTGTGCTGCGTACCGGTGTGTGACGACGTGAGCCAGCAGAGACTTGGTCGTGCGAGAAACAAAGTTTTCTGTGCAGTCGACTTCGCACTATGGCAAGTGAATGTAATTAATATGCGTAGATAACAGTAGAAGATTAGTGTTCAATTCCTCCTTTTCCACCCGGGGCGGAGCTCGAGCCCGACGTGCCTCATCCACCCTAGCGCGCCATCCCTAACCTCGACAGCAGCCATAGTGGCCTTCCCGCGGTGGATCCATGGAGCATTGACCTTCCATGGTGGATCCATGAAGCACGATACAAACCTTTACTTTAAGTCAATAAAATTCCAGTAGGGGGCTCCCCCCCTCCTGTTTGCCTAAAAAAAAATGGAGCACGATACACATCTAGTGGTGTGGTGGTCTCCCCCACCCAGCAGGTGACGGTGGCCCATCCCCCATTGCATCCATGGAGGCGGCATGATTTGCAGCCCCGACAGCGCCGCCAACCCATGTGCATCCCCTCTTTCCCTTATCTCACGGGTGCTTAGGATTTTGTGGGTTGCAACAGTCATTTTATTTGTAGATGTTGCTAGATGTTGCAACATGTGTTTATAGATGTTGCAACTATCACTACGGGATACTGATTAATTACCGAGTGTGATAAACACTCGGCAAATATGGATAAACACTCGGTAAATTTTTTACCGAGTGCCACACTCGGTAAACATGACTCGGTAAACAACGACTCGGTAAAGTTAGTTTACCGAGTGTCAACTAACGGGGCACT